TCCCTACAGCCTTCCTCATAATCCAGTCCATGACATTTAGGAATATTATCAGTGATAGTAGGCAGCCTTGTGTAACTCCTCTCTTCACTTCAAAGGCTTCATAGAGTTTTCCGTTGTAGACCATCTGACGTGTGCCATTGTCACATGGCTGTTGAATGAGGTTGGTAAAGATTTGGGTCACTGCGCTGCATATTGTTGAAGTAGTTTCCAAATGATAATTGCTGTCGATTGATAACTTTTGGGAATTATTTACCGCTACAGCGATTATAGAAACTTGGTTTCGCATAGAGTGCAGAATGAATTAAGTAACCAGGATGACTGAACTAACTAAGCTAGTGTATTATGTATTTCAGGATTTCATCATGAACTGATATCGGTTAGATGACCATTGTAAAACCTGGTAGTGCTGGAGAGCTACTTCGTTCCAGTTTGGGACTCTTCAATAGTACGCTACCAGTGAATTTCGAACCCAGGATATTCTGGTTACAAGGCAAGCTCGTAGACCACTAAGCCACTGCGACCCGATCTAATGGTCCATGTATTTCTATACAGTCTTCATCATTGTGTTCAGTAAACAAATTTAGTGAAACTGCTTACAAATAAAGACATTTAATCGTATATGAAAGCAATGTGGTGGTGTTTTTCAACAAGTCACCTCCTCGTCTGATGATCATGCTAACATTCATCTATCTATTTATCAGCTTCAACTCACTTCGCGATTAACTGTAATACTTATGGTATCCCTGTAGTACTCATTGAATCTACACGTTACAGCTTTCAAGTAAAACCTATAGATATCAGTTTCATAGGTTAAGCTATAAATGTTCACTTTTTCTAACCAAGTTAGTGAGCGATTGATCGTCTGTTTAAAATGTCATTATATTGACTGCTTGTTAGAATTTATCTATAATGGTTGTTGTTGTTAAGTATTTCAAATTAGTTAGTTAGTCGAGTTCACTAATGATTTCTTGTTGTATAATAAGGCTGATTTAACCGGTTGGTTATACTTTTCGGCTTTTTTTTCACCTTGGGGACCAACTAAGGTCAAAGTCTATCTATTGGTGTTTCATTTTTATTATCAGGGTCAAAGTGTCAGTCTTTCTTCTTTCTTTCTTTCTCCCTGTATTTTTAAGAATTTGACGCACAAGATTGGTAAAAAAAACAACAGCAAAAGTATGTAACTGAAAAATTTAAACGTAAAATAATTACCGAGTAAAACATCCAATTACAACGGAAATTCTTATAAATGTGAAAATATACCCTAAGACTTAAATAGAAATGTATCTAATTAGAATCACTTCAGTAAGTTTAAATGCTACCAGATATTAGTTTAGCATATCCTCTTACGAGAAGACTCAGTAATCCAAATATCAATATGACTTGAATGAGACACTGACTCTTTGGTAAACATCAGGGACATCATAATTCGAAATTTCAGTGGCTGGGTATTTATATTGCTTCTTATAAAATAAGTTTAAGATTGATTGTCAATGTCCAGATTGCAAAATATCTTGAACATGGCGCTGATTCCAGAAGACTAATCCATGCCTCAAAAATACTATGTGCAGTAGGAAACGCAAGGATATCGGAAAACGGATAGGAAATACGAGGATCGTTTATTTTCTCACCAACAATAAAGCAGAACAGGGTAACAGGGCATAAAGTCTATAAATGAATGTTAATATAAAGCACAATGATACCTCGTGTCGCTTTTCACCAGTCGTCTACCGATCAGCGTAAGATGAAGCAAAGGCTGCCACTGTGTTTTCCCGCCAAATGGAGAACAGTTCGAATAAACAAATTATATGTTGCTCATTCAATATTCACCAACATTAACACTGACCATTCAATCTCTAATATCTTTGAAATCTTATCACCTTGTGACCCATCATTTTCCCTTTTACTATTTTTAATTGCATTACTTTTCTGCACCAGTGTATTGCCATGCTGTATTAACTTAAACTGTTGCATTTCTCTCCTACGTTCAGATAGGAGGCTTTATTTTATGTCTGATATTATTTTGAGCAATAAATTGTGCTCGAAATGTCATCGATAAATAATACTGTATATCACTGATTGATTATATCAAATAGATTTACTCCATGGTTGAAATATACTCTACCACAGTGCCCTAGTTCTGTTCTCTTATATTTTGCAGTTAACTTTGTGAAAGCGTAGTGTCATATTTCATTAGTATAGTGTGCAATTTTACGGAATTTCTCAAGTGGTCAACTGCTGTAGTCTTGAGATTTACCTTCTTTCTTTCTTAATCAGTATTTTTACCGGTTTTCACAGTAGTGCATATCTTTCTTCTAAGATTTGAATTCTGAAAAAAAGAGACTAGAAGAGATTACTCCTAGAAAGAACTTGTTAAACACATTACCCTAGAAGGTTGAAAATATCATTCTTCAGTTTAACATTATCATTGGTGTCTCATTCTTATTTTTCTTTTTTAATATATGGCAGGTGATATTTATGTATATTTCCTTCTGCAATGACATTTAGGCAGACAACATTTATCGTTCGAAAAAAACTTCATTTCCTAACGCAAATATCTCTTAAACATTTTCAAACTGTATGCCTCTCAGTGAAATATGGTGAATGCAACAACATTTCTGGGAAAAGACTTATAAATAACTGTAGTCACTGAACTTTTTGTTTTGGTGATTGTTCGTTTTGTGTGTGATTTCAATGCATTCACCATCTAGAATATCTGTTAAAACTTTTTAACTACTTTTAAATAGTCAGTAGTCAAAGTAAATCTGTGTTCAGTTACTGATATCAATTGGATTTTGTTTGCTTAAATGTGTTGTTCTAAATTTAACTATGGGAATGCTCATTATTTTAACATCTATATTCCTTCAGCTAACTTCACTGATGGAAAATGTGTCGTTTAAGAATAAGCCATATTTCTAATAATAGAATAATGACTCTCAGATGGAATACACTTTTAAAACCTACTGGTGTATAAAAATTGAAAAGGTGGTTTTCTCGGTTTAAGAAGCTAAAAATTGCAGTCTTCTTAACTCCTCAAGCAAGAACCTGAATGTTAGGCTTGTGGTTCATCTCGTGTTAAGTGAATACGATGCCACATAACTGGTTTACGTCAATTCCTAGTTTAACAAAACAGTTGGGAAGCATTTTAATGTGTTGGTCAGCCCTAGTCGACTAGTTGTTGATAACAGCTCGACATATTTTACTAGCTTGTGTTATCTCTGGGCTGGCAAGTGGTCAGGTTATCCATCAAAGGGTGTGTATACTACCCAACAATTTTTCATGTTTGAAATCGACCTATGAAAGTGGAATGTATGAAAAAAGTACAGATTTTCAGCCGTAGCTGTCCTCTTCGTTTTGTTAAGTGAATCAACGTAATAAACAATATTAGGATGAGAAAACGTATGTAGATAGATCAATAAGGTTGTAAAGCCTAATCAGATAAGGTGCTTAGAGCATTTGTGATGCACACTAAACTACTTCCCTCCTCAAAGAGCAAAACGGACTGGAATATCATTGGTCTAGGAGAATTAGAGGTGGGTATAACAAAATGTGGAACGAATATGTGATACGTCTAAATATTGTTGTAAAACATATATATATATATATATATATATATATATATATATATATATATATATAGATTCCGTTTGGCAGGCCGAAGTCTTCAACACAGGATAACTTGAGACTATTGGATAAATCGCACCGGTGTATCTGTTCCCTGTCATCCACATTTATATCAAATTGTATTCAGTTATTCTTCTCTTCCCATAAGTTTTTCCAGTGTAATGCCATTGCATCTTTTCCTTAGTGCGGTGTAATTTGAAGTTTGGCAACTCGAAATGGTTTACTTCTACGCCGAGTTCTACGTTAATTTGTTGGGTATTAGTTCATCTTATCCATATTATAACTTCTTGGTTATATTTCTTCTTAATCAACCATCTTGACGAGCAAATCTAGATAATTTAAATGCATGTAGTTTCCTTCCTTTATCACTATTGGGTCGAATAACTTTCCCCTAAATGGGGCAGGTTTGTTTGAATTCTATGAATTTGGTAAATAGCTTGAATAGGTAAAACATACTCAAACCCAAAATAGATATTTGCAACTTGCTCAGTTGTTAATAAAACAGGATTCAGTGAACCTCAATGGAAAAGTGTTATTATTATTTTTCTTATTCCTTTAAGTTCCCAGTGGAACACAGGGCTTCAAGCTAGAGGCTTGAATTTTCAGCAGCAGTGGTGTTTATTTTTACGGGATATGGTTGCTAGCTTCATGCCTAACCTTCCCTCTTTGTCAGTCCTACTACTCGCATAGCGAGGTGAAGGAATGCGCCGCTTGGCGATCGAAATCCGGACCACATGCCTGGCTGGCTGGCATTCTACTGCTGCGTCACCGACGCACAAAGGAAGAGTGTAAACGGGTTTGTTTTACAATCAACAGTTCACACTAAGTGTTATGTGAAACATGAGTAAGCGGAGATAATAACATGCAAATTGAATTATTACTATCATGAAGATAATCTCTCAAAGTTTACATATTTCATGAACATTCTAGCAACTACATAATATCAATCTCCAAGGTTACTTCATTTAGACTTCGTCTTTTATTACAGTGCGTATCGACAGAGGATACGATGGTTGACTGCCATTCACAACATCAGCCTCCAAATTATGCTTTTCACTGACGCGCAGATACTCACAACGTTTGACTTCATATCTTGATTCTTTTGTAAAAGAGCAGTGCTTCGCCACTCGTATATAACTGTTGTATATTAAAATAAATCGTGTTAATGGAAAGGATATTATTGACTTTAAGATAAATGTTTTATGCGTGAGCGATAAATGAATTATTTAAAGTCAAACAGTCTACCAATTGCATGTCTCTTACCGTAACTTTATTCTATGTTGGCATGTAAAAATCGACTTACTAGGTATAATTGTGTTCACCATGTACTTCGGTAACTTCACCAGTGTCGCATATTACCTTTCTCTTTGCTACAATAGTCAGACTCACTCAACTTATCATCAGACGGTTTACCAGTTCCTATACAAAATGGTCAAATCCATTCGTCTCCTGGTGGTACTGTAGTCAATCAATCGACAGCAACGTTAACGTCTACATGTTTAAACAATATTGCTCATAACGCTCTACAAAATTTACCCTGTCCACAACAACACCTGAATTCTAATTCACTGTCAGCTGCACCAGGTACTTTAGTTACAACCACACCAACAACACCACCAATCACAGCCAATACAACAATTCTCCCCGCACAAGGTGACATCTATTCTAATCATCAGTCTGTACAAAATCAGCTTAAATTAGCTCAAGCACATGTAAAACGATTGGAAGCAGAAATTAGTCATCTTAAGCGTTATGCAATGCCTACGATGGCTGGTTCCATGAACGGTGGATCAGCTTATCCTACGAATTATCCCAATATGGAGGTAAGTGAGTAGATATACAGTAATGTCACTGGATTTGTAACACTCGTTCTTCACCTGCCTGTCTAACTTTTCGGACTGATTATTACTAATAGATATATTGTGACAAAACTATGTAACTATGGTGATTTCGTTAACGGTCGTAATTTAAAATTTGTATTCGTTACCTTCGAGTAAACATCTCTACATAGCCTACATCGGTCATGATCTAAGTGGCTTAGAAGTTGGATTTCTGACTTCAAAACGATGTAATGATGATAATTAGTCATCTATATACGGAAATATGGGCTTCTCCAATGTTATAATCATGACTTTGCAGTGAATTGATTATTGATAAAATTTGGGCACTGTGGTGGAGTATAACTCCATTATGGATAAGATTTTATTTTGATAAATCACACAGTGTTGTACAGTAACATTGTGGTGGTGTGATACAGACAATGTGTGCCAACGGAATGTTATTCTCACATGTTCCCACAGTTCAATTAGGCATTAACAACAGAATACGATATATCTATTTGAACATTCTATTTGATGTTAGAGACAAAATTCCTTTCCCACAGTTCAGTACTACATTGGCAACAGAATACTATGTATATTTGAACATTCTATTTCATGTTGTTTGTTGTAGACTAAAATCACATGCTCAGTTAACGAATATAAACTTTAGTTATATAAACAATGGTTTGATCAATGAAAAACATACGTTGGCTTCCGTGTCTTGCCTTTTATTGTTACAATATTAGCTGATGTCGTTTCGAGCACAAATTATTGCTCATAATCACTCACTCAACTTTTTTGCTTTATTTATATACACGAGTAAAGTTGATTAGACACTTGAATAAAATCAAGTCTACATCCAACATATGCAACAGAAACGACTCAACGCAAATACCAGAGATATGGAAGATATTATTACCACTAGTCAAATCAGAGGACAAAAAATAATGTTAAACTGTATTCAATTCACATTATGACATTATAACAAGTTACTTATTTTGACTATAAAAACATTCATCTTATTTCCCATCTTATTGTATTTTATTGATAACACTAATATTATTTCCGAATGTACTTTATCTTAAATTGATTTTATTCAAATGTCTAATCAATTTTACTCGTGTATATAAAAATGAAGCAAGACAGTTGGGTGAGTAGTGCCTTGATATGATTATGAGCAATAATTTGTGCTCAAAATGTCAACATTGTGTGATTTATCAACATAAAATCTTATCCATAATTGAGTAAATTGATTAGATTTATGATTCCTCTCTCTCTCTCTCTCTCAACCAATCAACCAATATTAGATGATTACATCATACCAGATTAAAATAGAATCATACATTTAGCTTCTATATCCATAAGAACAAATCGTGCGTACAGTAGTTCATACATGATTTTTATTAAAACTTAGTAATTTATTAAAGTCATCTATGCATGCAATTGACCCACGAACCAAACTAATGTCAATAGATTTTGTTATATAGTGTTTGTTGCGTTATTCAAAATACTTGACAGTCATAGGGCATAATGGCAAATAATTGTTTCTAATTTTCTTATCTAAGGAAATTATGAGAGTTAAGTTTACTTGACAAATGTTGTTACAGTTCAACTTCGGTTTTTTTTTAAGAAAATGAGCTTGTTCACTTCAAGCATAGATGCGATTAGGCGCCTATCGATCTACACTGCTAAACTGGTCCGTACGCAGTTCACACACACACACAACTCACCTCATATAGATTGGTTAGTGTGTGTACTGCACTGTATTTTCCCAAAGTAAATGTTTGAAGGCAAGTGTAAAAATAGCTCATGAAACAAATTTTAACTTCTAGTGCTATCTATCCATCAGCGAAAGATTTACTAGTAGTTTCAGGGATTTTGAGATTGGACTTTGAAATGAAATACGAACGTGTAAAGATTTCTGCACACAAGAAAACAATACTACACTAGTCATTCTATCAGATAATAAAATCGGTTACCTAGATACCAAATAGTCAAAAATGACTGAACACCATAAATTAGGATGTCACTTTTACAAAACCTACTCTCAATAAATGTGCGCGTCGGTGGCAAAGCGGTTAGGACGCTCGCCGACCATGAACATGGCCCGGGGTTCGAACCGCGGCCGACGCGCTAAGCCAGAAATAATGCTGGTAAGGAGGAAAGGTTGGGCATGAGGCTAGCAACCTCATCCCGTAAAATTAAACACTTCTACAGAAACTTCAAGCCACTAGCTTGAGGCTCTATGTTTCACTGGGAACTTGAAGGAAAAAAACTCTCAATAAATGCTGAAACATTTCCAAATTGGGTTTAAAAGCTCCTGTCTTCAAGTTACTGACATCAAATATAGTGCTGTTTTATATAACCCTTTAACCTTATTTACTAAAATATTCATTTGTCAGTGAATCTAAGGTTATATTCTGAACGACGTTTTTTCTCTTCTGATTTTATGTCAACCCCAACAGTCAGGAATATCCATGGATTCTGATGTCCCGGATCTACGATGTGGTGTTTCTCGTCTTGAGTTAGACGGATCCAATGGTGGTTGTACCAGTTTACTTAGCAGTAACGGTGAGTGGGTCAACGAGCTAAGTATCAATAATAAGCCCAAACCAGTTGGAACTATTCATCCCTCATTAGTACACGGAAATCAGAATCGATCCGCTTGGACAGATCGTGCATCACAAGATACCATCCGATCACTGCATACACGTCTTGGAATTGTATTAAAAGATGCCTTAGAAATTCATAATCGCCTTGGATCACTTTTGTCTTCACCGTCTATAGACTGAGTCTTCTATCTTCTCTCTCTCTCTCTATTATGGTACAATCAAATAGCTTTATTTCCATTTCACTGTACATTGTTGTTTTTTTTTCTCCCTAAGGATGCGTATGTTGCATGAATGAATGATCTTCAGAATTCTTTTTTCTTTTTTGTATCTTAGACTCGATTTTCCGATTACCCCTCATTCGCACGGGGCTTTTTTTTCCATTTTCGTCGAGTGAGAGTGAGTGTCTCTCCTGTTTCGACTTAGAAGAAGAGTATATGAACACATTATTTTAGTAGTATGTGCTGTACAGTTCCGTACTGAAACTTTTCTTGATGAAAACGATCATATAAATATTCCTTTGATTTTACTTAAAGGTAATATTACCCTAACGCGCATCACTACAATTATGTTTCGTTAGGTGAAATTTCTCCTTTTCTTGTGTCTTCTTAATATACCCCCTTTTTTATCTTTTAAATATACCATTCTGTTCTTAATATCGGGTGTAAATTTATTCATCTCAAAATATTTGTTAACGCTACTGTTAATTGTCCCAATTAGAAAAAATGTTTGTGCGTAATTGTCTGCTTTTTCTGAATAACTGCGCCGTTTATCATCACATCAGATAAGTAGAAACTATAGGAAATCGAAGAGCACTGAATATCTCTCTTTCATCATTAGTTGTAAACACTCCATATTCAAAATCCCTCAAGGATATCGGGTCTAAGATAGGACTTCGTTTCATAATGCAATGTGCAAAGCTCGATCACACTCGGATATTGTACTTTCCCTCTATTCTCAAGACATTTTATGTCGTGAAATTATAGACTGAGCGAATAATATTTTTGATCATTTGGTGATGGTCAACAGCGGAATCCAAGAAGCAAGCTCGAAACTAATTTGGTTCCTTTAGACAAAAGTACCTACGTCCCAGTGAAAGTTGTCTCTACGGTATTTTTTAAGCTAGTGCGCCACCTTTGATGCTAATGCTATCTTTCTAATTCATGAAAAATCCCCATTCGAACATTAAAAGACAAAAGACCCTTTTTGAAACAGAAGCCCAGAGGAAAAGATCCTGCACCTAACCACTTCTATGTGTACATATCAGTTAACCTGTTGCTGTGGGGCCAGGTACATCGGTCGTTTGACGCGCATCCTGTCAAAAAAAGTCAAAGAACACTATCCAGCGTGTCTGCAGAAAGGAAGCAGTGGCCGTATAAGGATTGCAATAACCGAACATCTCGTCACCATCGGTCATTCCATCTCAACAAATGCCTCCTTCAAAGTAATCTATAAAGTGAAGAACAACCTGTCAAAGATAATACGTTTCCGTCTTCTTTGCATTGCAAAAGCCCTAGCCATTCAGTTGGAAGAACCAGAACTATGCATACAAAACAAAATTATTCAGCCACTTCTACTACCATGGTAACAACTCTGTTGATCTGACTTAACTTTTGCTTGTTTGCTCGTTTTTTCTAACTACTTAAAACTCTTGCGTAATTTCGTATGTTATTTTGTTTCCATGTACACCTTGAGCACAACTCTTTCATCATACTATTCATGTTATTACGTAACTCTTTAACAATCGTTTGCTACAACCCTCTTATATCAACATACAATTCATCCGAACTTACCAATTGTATTTTCGTCCGGAAAATTTAATGTACACACACATACAAAACAACCATATATATTTGCGATTGTACAGCTATGAAAATGAATTCGCCTCCGAAAAGAGACTCTTCGCTGCACTACTGGTCTTCTGTCTACTAATGCTATCTTTTACAGATTCTATGAATGTGTGAATCAACTGTATAATGGCATACACAGTCTCAGTGAATAATTAGAACTTCTATTATAATTTATCTTGTTTTTTTTCCATTGTTATGTTATCGAAGACAAGTGTTACGCAACTGCTCATTTGTTATCTAGTATATCTTGACCTTTGACCGGAAATCATCCTAAAATGCATCACTTTTCTTAATAGAGCTTAATAAGTGATACCATCAGAGCGAAAAATCTAAATTGCAATCGTCTCTTATTATAAAATCATACGACCAAGTGCTTACTGTATTTCATTTTACGAACATTTAATCAGAACAAACGAGAAATTTCGATACAAACAGAGACAAAGTAAAACAGGCACTATCGCTCAGCAGAGTACATGAGTACGGTTTCTCTTTGAACTCTTACCACTAAGCGACATAAGCCCTTATGGAGCGAGTTATATTAACCGTTGCTCTAGGAACTTGATTATCCGTGCTCAGGAACATCTACCAGTGTGGCTAAGTAAAGGTGCAGTACAAACCACCAACAGTTCAATATTCGATCACCTGGTCCAAACTGGCCACAAAGCCAGTGTTGAAGAATCCTTCCATATCATCTACCGAGTCCCAAATAAATTCCCGAAAACATCCAGGTACCACATACTCCAAACAGCTGAGGCTATCGCAATTCGCCTTGAACAACCGGTGCTCTGTGTGCAGAAGAAGCAAGTCCAGCCACTACTACTGCCCTGGCCGGCCCTCAGCGGAGACTATAACTTCATGAATTTGTATTAACATCTTTCCTAATTTTTCTGATATTCAGTGTTTTGTTGTGGTGATGCTATCGAACTGTAATGATTGATTGTATTCCTTCACGTTCCCAGTAGAATATAGGGCTTCAAGCTAGTGGCTTGAAGTTTCTGTAGCAGTGTTTATTTTTACAGGATGGGTTTGCTAGCCTCATGCCCAACCTCTCCTCTTTTACCAGCATTATTTCTGGCTTAGCGAGGTAAAGGAGTGCGTCAGTGGCCGGGGATCGAACCTCGATCCATGTTCATAGTCGGCGAGTGTCCTAACCGCTGTGCCACCGACGCACATCGAACCGTAATCCATTGATATTATTATTGATTCGAGGTTATTTAAGCATTAATCTTGTTAATAACACTAATTAATTCACTATTATGTATATATAACTGCAGAACCTAATGATGAAGTTATCGAAACGAACATTCTTTGTTCAGTAACCATTCTTTTGGGGAAATTTTAATCAGCACGAATGAGTGGATCATTTTAAAATGTACTCCAAAATTATTAAGAATGTAATTCAAGAGAAGCCAGAATCAACGTTTAACGCATAATTGTCACGCGCATCCCTGACTAATCTAACAGCACATTCAAATTATTCGCATGTTAAAAGGGTTATTAATCACCTATCACTGTATAATTGATCAGATAAGTAAATGCACTGATGATGAAAAACGAAGACTGTTATACTTTTCTAGACTTAATTAACACTTCAGCATACCTTATTTTTAAAATCTACTTTCCTAATACTTTACCGCTGTTTGCATTGACCCCATTTATCTGAATTCTTAAGTTCTGTAGCGGTAGATAATTCCTCAAAATTATTTGCATACAGCATTTACCACTCAACATTGGATGGATTATGACTTTTACTGTTTAAGTCGACTTGTTTGGCTGAAGGCTTGCGGCCAAGCATCCATGCCATTTGGCATGTCGTCGTATTGTGTTCGGTAGTTTGTGCATGATCCTTAGCTAGTTAAGCAAGCATCCTCGTACTATGAATTTGGTCCCAAAATATTCTTCGTATTTGGGATGATCAATTTGATTCGCCTTTAGTTTACGCAGAACAAACACTATAGTTCCAAAATAATTGGACGACGTGTGAGAAGTAGACATATGCAGTACTCATATTTGTAAAAACTCAGCAAAATTGAAACAAGTTCTGACGTTTCATTCGGTAAACTGGCCCGAACTTCTTCGGGGAAGTTAAAATAACAGAGGTTTATATACAAGAAGGATATCTCTTGTTTTTAAAAACTGTGCAATCATGAATCAAGTGGAAAAAAAACAATAATTAAAATTGCATGAGTTGTGATCAAAATTTGACCTCAGACTTACAAATACTATTCTACTTTTGCTAAACACTGTACTTTTTCATCAGATTTTTAGTGATTACGTTCGACTAAAGTTCATGGTCGTAGATAACTGAATATGTAAAACATGTGTATATGCGTTATAAAATAGTGTGTGTATTGCGCCACATTTGTTAGCCTCTCCATAAGAATATACAGACAAGTAGGAATTTAGATCAAGTATGACTGATTAGTGACACATATCCATATTTATTTATTAATCGGGACTTGCCATGCATCACCTAACACCACACTTTCACGCCTATTCAAACTTTTGGGGTCCACCCATATATGTAGGGCTTCTGTTGTCTTTCTTTATACGAACTAACCACCCCCCAAAGTCGATCTTGTGTCTCATTTCAGTCGAGCGCAGTGCAATCGCTAATCTGTTTTCTAGCTTCTTCAAGTCTGGAGAGGTCTTTGAAACCACCTGAAGACATTGTTTATTCTCTTTCACTCTTAAATTTACCTGTCTGGAAGTTCCTCCTACATACACGGCGTCACAAACCCCACAACTGATCTGGTACACACAGTTCTGTTGCTTGTCTTCTTCTATTTTTTTGTGCTTAACCTTCACGAATGATTAGCGTAAGGTGTTAGTTGCACGAAAAAACACTTTTATGTCATGATTGTTAAGGATTCACTTTATATCAGTAAGGAACGACGACTGTGCTAACCCAACTCTCAGCAACAGATTTCGATTCATCCTTATCTTCACATTTTAAACATCTTTTTATAAAGTCTTTGAGATAATTATTTGATTCAAGAGTGGGCTGAAACAATTTTAGTTCCCTGCCGATCTCTTCCTCCTAGGTAACGAGACGTTTGACTCTGTTAATCAGATTCTTGGCTACAGTTAAATTTAAAAGTAGTCTAAGTATCTGTCCAAATGTGTCGGCTTTCTGAAAATGTTTATTTTAAGTTGACGATCCGGTTGAATTCTTACTAAAAAGTCCAGGAACGCCAAATCAGATTCAACCTCTTTGGAAAACAACTGTTTATTAAATAAAAATGTCCATTCAACAACAGATTGCGTCTGATTGTGACGAAGGTATCATTCACGTATCTTAACCAAATTCTTAGAGGACTAGAGCATCTCATAACTGCATTTGTTTCTAATGAATGCATATATAGATTGGCGACTAGCGAAAGCACTGGTGATCCCATAGCAATGCCCTGTTTGACGGCAAAGAACCCCTCTATACTATAGGAGATGTAGCTATAGGGACTTGCATTAGTATCCGCCATACTGTCCGTAAACGTCAACACACCTTCCTCTAAATTTCCAACTATTAACATTAAGGTATAAAGACTTCCGAATACACATTGCTTACAATAAATGTAATAGACATCGGTCTCTTATCCCTCGTCACTGTCTAGTCTCATCAATTAAACTTGTCTCAACTTGCTGTCTAATTCAGATACTAAAAGTCTCAGTATTGATAAACCGGAATGTTTATTAGTAGACATTGACAGACACAAAAACTAATAACAAACACCAAATAAAAATGTGACACATTAATAGAAATTGTAGAAATGCTGAGGTCTTTTTTTAACATAAATGCTGCCACCATGTTTATTATAAAAATATGAGTATAATATGCATAGACACATAAACACGAATACATGCAAATAACACTTATTCTTCACAAACAAACACCTCCCGCCTGATTCGTTTCACTTCTTGGTAGGAATCAGAATCAGGGTTAGCACCACGTTTACGAAATGGTTTGCTGTTTTGCTTTGGCATAACTAAATGATTTTGTGTATTGTAATATCCCGAGAGGGAATTCACCGGGTCTTCTTCATTATCTGAAGCCACTTCATCGTATATAGTTTCACAGTCATCCATATTAATAGCTCTACGCTCGATTGTACTGAAAGCTAACGGTTCAGTTGGTAAGACGTACATTGGTGCATCATGTCGATTAAAAGCATAATCTTCTGCACACTCGACAAATCCATACTCCATATTAGTATCGAGAGAAAGTAAACTGTTTTTGTAAACAGATTCGTAGACAGCATAAATTGCATAGTCATTAGAAACATCAGCTATTTGATTTTTAATATCGTTGGATGCAGTCTTGGGACTTGAATAGTTGTCCTTCTCAAACACTGGTACGACATTCGTGTGGCATGTCGGACAGAAAGCAATTGGCAATGCATTACAACATTGTTGTGGTGAAGCATACGATGGATCTTCACATTTTGATCCATCTTCAGAATTGTTCAAGATATTTGATAGAGATTCATAGGATGATAAACGCGTCGCATCTAATTTATTGCATATCTTAGATCTACGACGTTGCCGAACGCATTTTGACTTGTTGTTATCAACATTCTCACGTAGGGGAAATGCAGATGTTACACTTGACCTCTTTTTGGTGCAAAATAATGACCATAATAATGGCTTCTTTTTAATCTTCAATTTGTTTTCTACTAAAGCACGTTGGGAACCAGAACTCTTAGAGAACAGCCATCGCATTATTGACTGAAAAAGACAGGTGCAAAAAGCTACATAAACGTTAAGAAAAAAGAACATTAAATGCAATCTGAAAGACGGCTGTCCTCACCAAGTACTTAAGTTACTACTAATCCAATCACTGCTAAATTCTCAAGTGTCGAATTGGCAGTAGTTTCAAAGAGTAATAGACACTAACTGCTTCTAGATTTTGTTTAACAAAGAAAACCCCCTGCAAAGGTGCACAGTTTAAACTGCGATAATTTAAAACAAAAAAGATCATAACAGATAATCACCAAATCAGAAATCACCCATATAGGGTCGTTATATCAATTTCTTTGGTTTGAGAGTGTAACACAGGCAATCATTGGAGTTTTCACAACTCAAACGCAAGAAATGTTCCGAATTCGTTGCGGAAGCTAAATGGTATTACTAATTCTCATAGCCTGCCACAAGCTTGTGCTGCATTCCGACATATATAAACAGAAGACATCATCTAAAACTCTAATGATAAAGCGTTAGACTATGCACACATGGTCAGAAGTGAATAGTGTGTTAAATTTAAGAGCAAATGTATTTAGAAAATTATTGTAGAACTACTAACGCATTCCGAAAACATGGAACTCAACAGTCGTCGTTCCACATAGAGCAGAGACGTCAGACGATGTCAGAAGAGTTAGAGTTTTCTTCAAAGCAACCTTGCCCGTATAAAAGACCGATCCCGAAAGATTCTCTAACTGTGTCTATAAAATAAAATGCTTGGAATGTGATGCGGTATACATCGGGCAAACATCTCGAGAAATCAAAATCAGAAGAAATGAACACCGTTGAGCATCTCTTCGACCACTGAGAAATCCAGTTGAACTAGAAAAGCTTGAAAAATCATCAGCCATAGGTCTACACGCTATAGAATCAGGTCACAAAATTGATTCCAAAAGCATTGAAATAATCCAGAGAAAACATTTCAGAGATCACAAAGAATGTCTAATATCAGAAGCCCTTTCATATCAAGTGGAATCCAAATTGCCTGAATAAGAATGATGGACTAAAACAGAACCTACCTCCCCCATGAAGTGACAAAATCAACACGAATGTGACAATCAAGTTCTCTATATAAACACACACTGCTTTTATAATTTTACACACTGATCAAATCCAACAATCTACACTTGGTTTTGTTATCTCTACCAATTGACCAACTTTACAACGAAAAATGACCCCAGACTGGCGAACGATGATCAAGTTAGTAAACTTTGTTTTGTTATCATAACAGATGTACTATTACCTTTGTTATTTGGTTTAGTGATCTTCATTACTATTCTGACTTTCTATACGTCCCTTTAACTTGACCTAAATAGTCTATTTTCTCACCCCTTAACTCTTTGTTACATATATACATATATATATATGCTGAGATTTTGTAAATTTCTGTTTAATAATACTTTGAGAAAGCTATTAGCATTAAATGGCGAAACGTCAGTAAAAACAATCTCGTTTTGTTTTTCATTCATTGGGAAATACAAAAACCTTTATTATAACAAATATTAAGAAGTAAAAGAAATACTCATTTTGACAAACCTTTATAAATGCATGAACTGAGATGACCATTTCACAGGCTGTGATACAGTCTAATCAGACATACCATTAGGGGTTTAGGAGAAAACCAGATTGATAAAAACACATTGCTTCAGTAAGCGTGCTATCATTATTTAATGAATTGTTGGTCTGAGTTACAGATGGAAATGTTGGCCTTCTGGCCGTTGCCCATGGGACACTAGTAACTAGGTAAGGCATTTTAACATGAATTACAGTGCGCTAAAATCTGTCTTGGTTTATGCGGTAACATGCAGGTCATCCAAACCACGCGTTATCAAAACCTGTAAGCATAATATGTGACATTTTTGGCAGAAGCATACCTCTGAGTGAACGGATACAAATAGCAGAGAAGTCTTATCATTTGGGTATCTTCGGGAGTACTGTCAGCGTACATTGAGATATATTTGGGCAATGAAAACCGTTGTGTGCGTCCGATCGGCTAAGACTAGATTTAGACTCTTTAGTGAAAAGCTTCTCACTCTTCCCTTGTGAAATGATACCTCTTCGAAACATAGTCTGCTTCCAACTACCAACACCTACAAAAAATAGACTGAGGTGGCTTCAGCGTGCACTATGTATATTGCCCTGGTGGCTTAGTGTTTCTTTAGAACCGAAACCAGTTGGACGGATGTTCACATGATATAAAAGATAAACCAATGTGAAGTTCCGCATAGACATATATATGCTCAAATCACAACAGAACTAATGAGTGATAGAGCATAATCTAACAAAAACCGGTGAAAACGATCACGAGTTTAAAGAAGTGAATACAACGGTGCTGTTGTGGACGACATCACACCATGTCACAAACAGTCTGTATTTATTTATTCTTAGCATCTTAAGGACCCAAGACGAATAGTCTGGACTTCTGTATGCTACATACGCTAACAGATAATGTAATACATTGATGCTACGTTTTTCTGTCTGTTTTCGACGTAGAACTCTGCACATATGTGCGGCACTTCAAGTCGCCACACTCCATGTAACACATAAAGCAAGAGAAGAAAGTAGCAGGATGCATAATAGGGACAGTTAGCAGAGATGTGAGACAAAGAAGTAGTAATAAAGAAGAACAATATAGTTTCATTTCAAATAAGTCACAAGGAGTGGATGCATCTGCGCCATTGAGGACGATTTTTAGCCATATCACTAATTGTTTCCAACCATTGGCTTTTACCGTCCCGAGGACCCCAACCAGGAAGTCTACACCTCCCTACGTGCCTTAGACTAACTGTTGCAGATTTCATTGATTGGTGCCATGTTTTGGTTTGACCACCTCTTGTTCTTTTCCAGCCTGACACTATATCCGCTAACATTGCTCGTCGACGAAGGCGATGACTAGGCATACGTAACACATGTCCTAACCATCTCAGTCGATGTAGCTTCACGACTTCGTCGATTGATTTCCCCTGTTTACCTAGAACTCGACGCCTAACCTCCATGTTGCTCACCTTATTATGCCACTTTACACGGGAAATAGAGCGCAGGCACCTATGATCAAAGACAGCTAGTCTTTTCATGTCTTCCACTCTCAGTGGCCAGGTTTCACAGCTGGCCATAAAGGAGGACGGAGCGGACTGATGAGCAGTACACCCGCCCTTTGGTCGGTAGTCGGATATCTCGTCTACGCCATATGGCATATGCGAAACTAGCCCTCTGTATCCGTTCTGAGATTTCGTCAGAGATCAACCCGTTGGCGTTGGCTGATACAACTTCCCAAATAAGTGAAGCGGTTAACGTGCTCTACCACTTCACTTCTTATTTCTAAACTAGGATTCGGTGTAGTCCGGTTCTGTAATATCTTGCATTTGGCGGGAGCGAACCGCATACCAAACCTTCGTAGATTGCAGCTCAAGGTGTTTAGAAGACTCTGCATTTTGTCAGCGTCCTCGCCTAGAAGGACTATATCGTCTTCATATTCTTAGTCAACGAGACTATTATTCCCGCCCTGGTAACAAGTCAACCCCTGAGTCGCTGAAGTCACTTAGGGTTAAGTCCAATAGTACATCTATGATGAAGTTAAATAGAAATGGGGATAATCAACATCCCTGATGGACACCACTAGTCGTCACCACTTCAGGTGACAACTCACCGTAAGCTCTCACCTGGCTGCATGAGTTCCAGTGCCTTGAGCACACCTAGTTCTTCATTTAAGCTCCACATCAACAAACATTAATGATCAAAAAAGTGACTTGGGATACATCTACGAATAATATCAACAGATGTAGCTTCTAATCTTTCTTGTTCTTATTATTAAATATTTCACTTGCAATATATTTATCACACAACCGTGAAGTAAGACAAAGCTAACTGTTGCACAGCAAATAAGCACATTTGCGGACAAATAGTCTTCTCATCGTAGCCAGGAGACCTACGTTAATTAGTGTCAAATAACCCTTACATGGCAATACCGACATTTTATCAGCCGCTAGTCTACTAGAGCTAACCAACACACCCAACTACTTCATTTCCTTCCGTAAAATAAGGATCTGTGCACATCAGTCATGCATCATCATTTTGCACCTGACAGGATGTAAACAAATACCAAACGCACTCAGATTTTCTAAACAAGACATTCAAAAAACCGTAATTTGTTGTTGTCTGTGCCCAAAAAGGTTTCATCTAAACACTGTCATAGTTAAAAAGGACTCCGATAGACAGCAAGTTAGTTTCTGAGACAGAAGTCATACTCTATATTAGTTTGTTTACTAGATGTATCACAGTCAAGTAGTGTTATTTACTGGATGATTTTTCGAACAAAATTTATTGTTCATGATCATATCATATGATTGACTGTGTGATACATCTAGTAAACAAATAAAAATGGAATTACTACCGCAGTCCCCAAGTCTTCCACATATTCAGAAGTCACATTCACTGATACATGTATACAAAACTAATTTATGGCGGTGACATAAGGATCTTTGTCGGAAAACAGTGAACGGTGTTACTTTAGGTGACATTTAATCATAAACTCTCACAGGCACAGTAAATAATATCAAGTGCATAACTAGAATAAAATATTACCCCAACATTCCATTTACATCCAGAAATAGACAAAACACTACAAGATCAGAAAAGTCGGGTGCTGCCTTTAGTTTTAGAAATAAAGCGACCACACACTTCAGGTTAGACGTCTACCGTTTCAAACAATTCATCTTAGCCAGGGCATCATAAATATATATAGTTCCCCGGGATTTGTTATCCCAAAACTAAGAACAGACTTTGCACAACCAACAATTTACAAAGGTTAGGTGGAAATGCCTCGAATTCCCATAAAATAACTACTGAATAAGTTATGACAGTGATGCCTTACGATTAAAGCGTATACATAAAACCATCGGATCTTATTTTTTCCCGCTGTGAATTACAGGTAGCCTCATATAAAGAGTCGGATTCTATGCCCAATCCATCTTGGAGATCGACCCACTTTCCAGTCTTCTACAGCCCATCCACCTATGAACCTTAGATAACTAAAGAGTAGTACTTGTTCTGATACCTTTCGGATTTCCTCCATTTGTTAACCACTATAGCGAGTGAGTAAAAGAAGTTCCCAGTACATATTATTCCTTCCTTTGCGTTCCGAGTAGAAAACTGGGTCTCAGAGGCAAATCTCCATTACATAAGCACTTTCTGTTAGTACAAAAATGTTTCGTTATTTCTGCTACTCAAACTTCAACCCCAAGTAAACACCTGCTTTAACTAGATATTAAGCGATGTTCAAAAAAGTAGAAAGCTACGATTGATATCTCAAACTAACGACTTTAAACAAATTGGTCTATTTATACCCATCGTCAGCTTCATTCCCGCAATAGTTAGACGAAATAGTAACTCCATCTTGGTTTGAAGTCTGTTTAAGCCAGTACGACATTGCTTTCTCAGTGTAGTTTTGAGCTGCATAATCATCTCTCAGACCTTGTACAAAGCTAAGTATATCAAGGACACACAGACCCTAACCAAAAACAACTAACTTTTATTCAATATAGGTGAGTTAATCATAAGCTAAATATTCCTCTGGATGTTCCAGTCAGTCCCAGGAATATGAAACAGTAAATTGTGTACAAGCCACTGAGACGATATTCACTTACTAAACGACTTGCAGTATATCTAAGTGTCAGATCTTCGAGTTAATTAGTTAGCAACAAAAGCACTTATTTCTATCGAGACAGGAATGAGCAAGCAAGCATAGTAGCAGCACATTCTAAGCACCGAGAGACCGGTTTCTACAGTCCTTGACTGCATGCACTAAAGTGCTGCAAGTCAGAGGTTTGTAAGCCATGCGACTGATCGAGACAGCCCTGCAGGAAGGATTGGAATGTATGACTATTGACACTGACCTGCAAGTCTACTCGTGTGCAGAGGAGTCATTGGTGGCTTGGTTGTTTGCCGACAAACATTTATTTTAACCAGTAGTATGACTTAACAACGAGTATCCCATCAGAGAATTAACAGTTTACATTGTAACGACAGGCGTTTTTGCTTTGTTGTGACAGCCACCTACAGCAACAGTATTCAAGGCACCATATCTTGTAGGGTCATTGTCACATAAAGAATCAATCAAAGCATTAAGATGGCAATTGGCCACCGGGCAAAGCATTTTCAAAATGGAATATATACCACAGAACAGTTACTAAATACAGGACAAGTATGTGGTTACATATCACACCACTATCAATGGCACAACTTCTAAGTCATAAATAGTGTCAGAAAATAATACATACTAGGTGCCAGCGAACCTAATGCTATGAAACAAAAGATGTGTGTTCAATTGGAACGCGCGAACTTCCCGATTAAACGTGTCGCTAAAAATGGCTCAGAAAGAAAATGTTGTAATATATCATTTCGCAGCTGCTTTTTTTAAGACACAAAAATAGTCAAGTTATTTGCATGCCTTACTTAACCATCCTGTAAAGTATTTCGTGCAGATGCTACATTAAGCTTGTGTTTTAGGTGAATTAATTAACATATCGTCATGGTTTAGGCCACAAATAGATTTGAAACAAAGTGAATTAATTATACGACTGACATCAAAAAACTTATGACTAAATGGAGCAATGTTTTTTTTATTCCCTGTGTGGGTAGAAAAAGAAAGCAAGTACGAGCAGTGGATATACAGTATGGATAACAATGCTTACGAAAACCTTTAACGTTTTGATGTAGCTGTATTCACTAAGCTCATAGATATCACGGAATATACACACTGGGTCATAGGAGTTATTAAGACAATTGCATCGAAGAAAATTTTCTTTTCGACGAAGTCATCATCTAGGCTGTACATTCGTGGATGTCCTTGAACTGAGCTTAAAACTAGACCTACTTTCAACCGATGACATCTGACTAACACATGTAGGATGCAGGCTGTAGTTGTAAGTAAAGGGATTAAGTAGTAAATAAAACGATGAGTTAGATGCGAAAGCTGTCACTCATTAAGAACTAGGAATTACACCTCATATGAACTGATACATATTTGACCTTTGATATATATATATATATATATATATATATATGCAGTAAAGAAAGCTTAAGCTTAAAAATGAATTAGAAACGAATGTTTACAAAACATGCACAGACTAAGTTTGGATAATCAATACATGTTTTTGGGACAATAACTACGTATAATAGTTATAAACTATCGAGAAGTAAAGCCGTGTGCATTGTTGACAAATTATTAATCAGAGTGAAATAAAGTCCCACTATTGCTTTGGCTATGGCGAAATCCAAGTCCAAAACCCACTAGTTTGAAGTGAATCTCAGAGGACTAAAAACAGACACTCACCTGCCACTCAATAGACCTAAGACTAATGTGTGATTCTTCGTCAAGTTCTTTGTATGCAATACTAGCCAATTGAAAGATAGGTCACATGAATTCGTCTTCATCCAATGACCAAGACGAAAACTGTCACGTTTAACATTTCAAGGTCGAAAACCTGTCTAGCCACTTACTTACCTTCAGCTTATTGGTTGAAAATATGAAGTAGACTAGATTGTATTCAACATTGACAATAGACACACCAATTACTAAGATTTTGTTTTCCCTGTTTCTGGATCTGGTTATCCACCCCACAAATTAACGAACTTTCGAGTGGTTTCTATATTTATCCTGTTACATTATGCAC